CACACACACAAAGTGGCTGCCAGCCCAGGAGGGGGCCTTCTTTTGGATCTTGCAGGACGGCAGCCAGGAAGAGCCACTAACCACAGTGAATGGCTGGCAAGACTGCATTCATCTCCCACTCTCTGTGCTGGAGCCAACACGAGTGATCTGGAGAGGAAGGGCTGTCAGTAAATTGTCCCAAGGGATACGCGACGTCATTTGGATGTGGGGAGTATAGTTAAGAAAGAAGTTTCACCAAAACCTCCAGAAAATAGTTACTTTTATATCTTTGGGCTCAGTGTTGGTTGATTTTTTTAAATCAGAGAACTCCCTTACATTCTCTTTATAAAATCACTGTGGTGTATTAGGCTTTAGCCATATGAAGCTACAATGTTCCAGTGAATATATCACCATCTGTGTTTGTCCTTCTCGTGTCATTAGAGTCCCCAAAATCTGTAACAATATAGCTCCAAGAACACTGAAGCTTAACAAATATTCTATTCATTTATACTTCATTGTTGTGATTACGTAGTAAAGTGAAAGCTCCTGGTATTCAAACACATTTTGACCAATTTTTAGGGAGGATATTTTTATCTTTAGAATAACTTAACCACTAAGTTAATGTTTTTGTTGATGATGAATTAATTGGAAAATAAGGTACCATTTAACAGGTGCCATTTAATGCATTTGTGGAATGACAGAATGAAATTAACACTGATGATAACGTTTAGGAATTAGATAAATTCATACCTACCAACCAAGCCTCGCGTAGGGAACTGACAAGAAGTAAGATGCTACGGGGCTGGAGACATGCTTCAGTGACTGCTGAGAGCTACCTGTAAATATCGTCCGTAAGTTCCTTTCCAAAGTTTGGTACATAAAGGACAGGGAATCCTGAAATAAAAGAATCATGACAGATAAAGACACACAGCATCATCAACAAAGCTACCATGCCCTGTCAAAGCACTGGACCTTCATAAAAGAAACAAGCTTTTACAAGTGCTAAAAAGTAAAATGTCCATTCCCATCAACAGGTATGATCATTTAGGAGAGTGATATCGCTACCCCCAACATGAACTGAGCAACGGCAGTTACAGGCCTGGAGTCGGGACCAGCGAAGAGTCAAATAACCATGTCAGGATGGTCCATACCAGTGTGGATATATAACCGAACAAAATCATTTTTTTTTGGACTAAAATTTTTTAAAGACAAGTTCATTTAATCTAGAACTGTAATTATATTTGTGTATGCATATGTGTATGTGAGGTCTGACAATTAAGTTCACGAACTTGTTGCAACAATGTTGCTAACCTTTTTTGATATCAGAGGAATTATTCATTCTGAATTTGTACCAACTGGACAAACAGTTAACCAAGTTTACTATTTGGAAGCGCTGAAAAGGCTGCGTGGAAAAGTTAGACGACTTGAACTTTCCACCAACAATTCATGGCGCTTGCATCATGACAATGCACCAGCTCACACACTGTCTGTGAGGGAGTTTTTAGCCAGTAAACAAATAACTGTATTGGAACACCCTCGCTACTCACCTGATCTGGCCCCCAGTGACTTCTATCTTTACCCAAAGATCAAGGAAATATTGAAAGGAAGACATTTGATGACATTCAGGACATGAATGGTAAAACAACAACAGCTCTGATGGCCACTCCAGAAAAAGAGTTCCAAAACTGCTTTGAAGGGTGGACTAGGTGCTGGCATTGGTGCATAGATTCCCAAGGGGAGCACTTCAAAGGTGACCATAGTGATATTCAGCAATGGGGTATGTAGCACTTTTTCTAGGATGAGTTTGTGAACTTAATTATTATACCTCATATATATATATATATATATACACACACACACACACACACACACACACACACACACACACACACACACATACATATGTGTAGATTGGAGGGTTTTTTGGCATCCTGGTGTTTTTTAATTTTTTCCCAAACAAATAAACTGGAACAACACCAGGATGCCAAAAACCCCTCCAATCTATACCCAAATTGAAATGTTTCAGAGTTCCCAGAAGCCGGGCAGGTGTGGGAGGTCACAGGCAGAGTGCTGGCAGGTTGCATGAGAAAGAATTCGGGGACAACAAGCCCCGGGGCTTGGGATGCTGAGTTGTCCTCAATGTGGTTACTGCAGAGACCCAAAGGCAGACTGGAGCGGCCCTGAACAAACTGGTCAGGTACTAGATCTATCCAAGTTCAGGGGACACAACTCTAAGTCCACCCAAGGATGACATGAGACCAAACAAAAATGCTCCAGCCCCCTAGAACAGTCAGCTCAGAGCCATGGGGGAGCCTGGATGGCATAGGTTCGAAGGGCCCCACAGGAAGCAAGTCCACCTTCCATTTCTCCACTCTAACCCCTCTGGCAGGCTCCCCACAGACAGGTCATCCTAATACCCGCTCTGGCCAGCTCATCCTAACACCCGCTCTGGCCAGCTCATCCTAACACCCGCTCTGGCGCTCACTCATCCAGGAAGCATTTAATAGGCTCCTGCTGTGTGCCAGGCTCCATGGTGGGCCTTGGGAATATAAAGTCCTTCTCTTTCATAACTTTTTCTTTTGTGAAAGAGACAGATCCAAATAAATGCAAGACGTAGTGACACATACTTTGATAGACGTTTCAGGGTTTAGGACTGGCTACATAATGTGTGAAGCCCACTGCAAAATGCAAATGCAGAGCCCCTTATTCAAGTTTCAAGAATTTTAAGGCAGTAACAGCTGAGCATATAACCAAGGATGGGGCCCTACTAAGTGTGACTACGGGGCTTCTGTGTGACTGCACAGGCTGCACACCCATGACACAGGCCCTGCCCAGGCCCTCACCCAGCTCCCAGAAACACCACTCACAGAGCTGTCTAACCTTCTGTAGATGTTAGGAGCCCTCCACAATCTAACACCTACTTACCTTTCCAACTTTCTCATGGTACCTTTTATCCCTGTCTTGTGTTCCAGACAAAAACAAAAAACTACTTAGATTTCCAAAATCCTGAAACTTTCCCAACCCACTGCCAGAAATACATTCTCACTGATGAAATACTATCTACTGTTCAGGACTTAACTCAAATGCCACCTCCTCCATGAAGGCTTCTCTGATAGCAAGGATATAGTTTTTATCATAGAGGCTATGTAGTCCCTCCTCCCCCCTCCCCGCCCCCCTCTGGCTTTCAGACAAGAATCTGAAGAATGTGATACTCCTTTGTGGACCTGAGCAAAGATCAGGGGCNCCCCCGCCACCACCATGGTATTTGTTACATTCTACTCATATATGGTTATTTTTGTGTTTATCACCCCTATTTAGAGTGAAATTTTCTAAAGGTCAGAGTCTATTTCCCTTTCATCTTATATCCCCCGGGGGGGTTGTCTAACACTTAAAGAAATCTCATGGATAAATTGCATATGCCATGGCATCCCTCAGCATGGGGCTCTGCACAGGGCGCCTACAATATTACTGATAAACTCTGCACTAAGGACAAAGCCGGACTGGCCTTTCCACCAGATTTGCAAAAGGCCACGAAAGTCCAGACTCGCATCTCAGGATGTGTCTGGAACAGACCAGATTTGGAGGTCGAGGGTCTGTGCTGGCCAGGCACGTGCCCAGGTGACTTTTGATGAACAATTAAATAGCCAGTGACCACAGAACAAGATTTCACAGGAAGCAGCATGGTCCTCTTTTTCCATGAAAAGCAGACAAATCTTACCGAGGTCCAGGAATCCACACTAAAGACCACTCCTCTTTCAGTGTATTTTATATTTTTTCCTTGATCTTTAGTTAGGGATGCAGTCAGATTTCTATGAAAATGATTTTTCTGTACTTGTGAGCTGTTGAAAAGAGAGAGGAAAAAAATGGTTAAGAATGAGAAAACAAACCCCCTAAATAACTGAGTTCAAGAATATAGTCAAGTTAATCATAGGTTAAAAGTCCATAAAGTTTTGACATCTGAACATTGAAGGAACAGCAGCACAAAAAACTAAAATTTTAGAAAAACCTTCATAGGAGATTCCAAAAAACCTTTTAGTAAATGCATTTCCAAGGTTTAAAGGCCTGTCCTTATGAAAAATATTTCCTATAGCCCCAAAGTTCTAAAGTGTAAAAGGTTTGAATTCCTTCCAGATTGCTAAAAAAATTTTTAAAAAAGCAAAGGTATTTCAATATTTCATACACACGGTCAAGAAATAGGTCTATGATTGTTTGGGAAAGTGGTATGCTGGCATACTGATTTATCTTTAAAGACATGCCAGGATTAATTATACAGTAAAATATATTGTCAAACTCACATATTTTACCCAGCCTATACAAGCCAGATGCCTGTAGGAGCCAGACAGGCTTCAGAAATGATCGAAGTGGAAACTGAGCAGCAGAAACACATGAAGGGGCCTGGGTGGGACCCTGCTAGGGTCGGGATTCTGATGTGCTGGCGGTTGTGACCCCAACCCAAAAGCATGCAATTCAATTAAAATAAACAAAAACTTACCTGATTCAAATACATTAAAACAGGGGGTTTAACTAAACCCTTTCTGCATATTTTCAATTCTGTTGAAGCTCTAAACTCTCTTACTTTAAGACCTTTTATTGCAACGCTGTCTTCTTGAATGTCTAACTCTTGATCACCCTTAAATATCTTGGTTGAAATATTACTTCTTCATGGTAAGCTCTCCGGTGACTGGGTTAGGTCACGCTGTGGCACACCCCAAAGCACCTGGCACTTTCCCTCCCTAGCACAAGAGGGTGTTTACACGTTCTTGTTCTGTGCCTGCCCACCCACCAGGCCATGTCCCTACAAGAGCAGGAACTGTTTCCATCTTGTTCACAGTGAGCTCTCTAACCCCTAAACTAGCGATGAAGAAATATTATTTGTACTATTTTATTATTTTTATGACTAAATATTTATAAAATTAATACAATTATGAAGTTGGTGGCTGGTATCCTACTCCAGCAGGGACACTACCTCCCAAAATACAAATCTGGCCTCTCTCTCCCTCAGAAACTACCTGAGGGGTCTTCTGCCTCACTAATAATTGCTTTTTCAGCGTGAAATTTGGGTGAAGTTAATGAGTAATAACAACAATGATAGTAATAATACTATTAACTACCACTTAATGTTTGCTGAGCAACTTACTAACATGCTCATTGCTTCACATCCATTCTTTTTTTTTTTAAGTTTATTGGGGTGACAATTGCTAGTAAAATTACATAGGTTTCAGGTGTACAATTCTGTAATACATCACCTATATATCACGTTGTGTGTTCACCACCCAGAGTCAGTTCTCCTTCCATCACCATATATTTCAACCCCTTTACCCTCATCTACCATCCCCCATCCTCCCTTACCCTCTTGTAACCACTAAACTATTATCTGTGTCTATGAGTTTTTGTTTCTTCATTTGTTTGTCTTGTTCCTTTGTTGTTTTCAGTTTTATATACCACATATCAGTGAAATCATATGGTTCTCGACTTTTTCTGTCTGACTTATTTTGCTTAGCATTATAATCTCAAGATCCATCCATGTTGTCGTAAATGGCACTATTTCATCTTTTCTTATGGCAGAATAGTATTTCATTGTGTATATATACCACATCTTCTTTATCTAATCATCTATCAAAGAAAACTTTGGCTGTTTCCATATCTTGGCCACCATAAATAAAGCTACAATGAACATCGGAGCACATATATCTTTATGGATAAATGTTTTCACATTTTTTGGGTAGATGCCCAGGAGAGGGATTGCTGGGTCATATGGTAGTTCTATTCTTAATTTTTTGAGGAACTTCCACACTGCCTTCCATAGTGGCTGCAACCAATCTGCATTCCCACCAACAGTGTCTGAGGGTTCCTTTTTCTCCACAGCCTCTCCAACACTTGTTGTTATTATTTGTCTCGTTGATGATAGCCATTCTAACTGGTGTGAGGTAATATCTCATTTTGGTTTTTGAGCATTTTTTCATATGTCTATCGGCCACTTGAATGTCCTCTTTGAAAAAATGTCTACTCAGATCCTCTGCCCATTTTTTAATTGGATTTTTTTTTATTGTTGCTGAATTCTATGAGTTCCTTATATATTTTGGATATTAGCCCCACCCATTCTTGTGCTTAATTCATACCACAATTATGGTTTTCTCCATTTTGCAAAAAGAGGAAGCTGCAGCACAAAAAAAATAAGCAACCTGTTTAAAATCACCCAGCTGTAAACAGCAGACCTAGAATTTTAACCTCTGTCTGTCTTCATACAAATCACATACTGAGCACCCCTCCTGGTAAGATTCTATTTCTATGAACCATTTCGGAAAGCACTTACCCATGGGTGTTGGTTTGCTGGCCTCCGCAGGAAATGAACAGAGGGTTCTCAGGCAGGTTGCAGCCACTGGGGAAACAGTCAAATGAATCAGGCATTTTTCTACCTTCTTTATCAAGCATGCATGTCACTGAGAACGGGTGGTGCACGTCAAACCACCTCCAGTTCTGGTGTAGAGGTGTGTGTTCCTTAGCCAGACAGGGCTGGTGAAGGGCAGAATGATACTTGATGGGGGTGGGGGTGGGGTGGGGGGGATGAGCTGACTAAGGGAGTCTTATGGTAACACAGGCTCATGGCCGTTCCCTTCTCTTCCCCACTGCACCTGCTGAGCTGCTCCCTGCTCACACTCACAAGAACCATTTCAGAGTTATACTGAATGAAACGGGTTCCCAACTGTGTCACCTCTGTCCAATTACGCTCACTCCTGTTTGCATGTCTTAGTTTCTCAGCCTCATTCCTTTAAAAACAAATGCATAAACTCAATAATTAAATAGGTAACTAAGTATCCCATTTTACAAGTGAAAAGTCCACCGAGACAACGTCAGAGGTTAACTTCCTCCTGACTCTTAACAGAAGCCCTAAGGGAGTGGGTATGTATTAGAAGAGTCTCTTCTACAATAGCATGAAAACTGTTTTTAAGGAGAGGAAGATTTGCATGGAGTTCTCTGAGGGAGGCTGGGGTAATGTGAAGGTCTAGTTGCTGGAAAAGAAATTCAGCACCGGAGGTGGGAAGAAGCTGAAGACACGGTTTTCCTATAAAAACACTCCTTAGGGCCAGTTTTACGCTGCAGAAAAGGTTTTCCTTGAATTCTCATTTCTCTACCGCCAGAATTCAGATGGCAACCTCGCAATGTGAGCACTACAGTTACAAGTACTTTTTTTTTTTTTAAGATTGTATTGGGAATTGGGGGAGGGGAACAGCGTTGAGGAATTGGGGAAGGGGAACAGACAAGTTGCTGTCCTTTTGTTCTTCAGTCTAGATGTCGCTTCACTGGCCCATGTTGGTATTATCATTGCGCTCTTCCCATGTGAGGCAGTCGCTCGCCAGCCACTGGACAGCCACTCACAGCAGCTCATGGCAGCCCACTGCAGCCTCGCTGCAGCCTACGCTGTCTCCGGTGACGCAGGGCAGCCCAGCTCCAGGTCGAGCTATTGTTCACCATCTTAGCTGTAGAGGGCACAGCGTCACTGGCCCTCATGTGGGATCCGAACCCAGGACCTGCTGCTCAGAGCTGGCGTCCGAAGCCAATGCTTTTTTTTTTTTTTAAGATTCTTATTGGGGAATTGGGGGATGGGAACAGCGCTGGGGAATTGGGGGAAGGGGAACAGACAAGTTGCTGTCCTTTTGTTCTTCAGTCTAGTTGTGGAGGACGTTGCTTCACTGGCCCAAGTTGGCACCATCATTGCACTCTTCCCGGGTGAGGCAGATCAGTCGCCGGCTTCTGGACGGCCGCTCACAGCAGCTGCTGGCCACTCATGCTGGCTGCTGGCTACACACGGTAGCCCATGGCAACTCACTGCAGCAGGGGCTGCAGCCTATGCCATCGCTGGTGACTCAGGGCAGCCCAGCTCCAAGTTGAGCTGTTGTTCAGCATCTTAGCTGTAGAGGGCAGTGTCACTGGCCCTCATATGTGGGATCCGAACCGGGGCCCTCTGGCGTCCCAAGCCAGTTCTTAACCAATGCGCCACTCGGCCGGCCCCCAAGCCAACTCTTAACCAACACATCACTCGGCCAGCCCTACAAGTACTTTCTGAGTTAAGTAGAGTTCTGGATGAAAATGTAACCACCACTATTTCACTGTTTCTTTAGGAAAATATGCTATGAGTTCCAAGTAACAAATTTGCATTGGAGGGTAACTTATTCTTAGTAAGTTAAAAAGTGCCTATACTATGAAAAGATGTACTTTTTTTTTGGTCATGAATTTGTGTCTTTCTTTGGCATCTTCTCTAAATTTCCCATAAAGTTCCATAACTGAGGAATCTTTCTTTGTACAGTGTGTAAAATGCAATCAATTCATGGAATTTCCTGCCTTGATAAATTAGGGCAAAAATCAAAAGAAATTGATTTGTCCTCAGTTATTTTCTCCTAATTAAAGAATAAGGTCCAGCCACATGTTTCCTCAGCTATTTGGACAACCTCACCAAACACAAACACCAAAAGTGTGCTCCAGTTTGGGGATCATTACACGTGGACTTTATACAACAGATAAATGTAGGTCATTCATTTTCACGTGGACACGTACTATAAATCCTTCCAATACAAACTAGACTCCCTTCTAATAATTATAATACCAGCAGCCAACGTTTATTAAGTGCTTACTACATGATGAACCATTTACATGAGTGATCTAATTTACTCTTCACAACAATCCTATTATAAGAGATGAATTCTTTCTGTTTGCATTTACAGATAAGAAAACAAAGCTTAGGAAGGCTCAGCTACTTGCTATGAAGGCCAAGTAGTGAGGGGCAGGTCTCTCAAATTCCAAAATCCATCCTTTCTACTGCTTGTATGCACCTAAAAACCCATAGCCAAAAAAAGAAGAGCCTGGAGATTTTATTTGATTTTTTTGAATTTTAATAAGAGCTTATTTGAGCCAAATTGGTGACATAGTTGGGAGTAAGATCTCAAATGCTCTGAGCCTGGAGATTTTAGTTGAGGTTTACTTCATTATTAAAAATGGCATTTGTATGGGATTGTTTATGTCTGCCAAATTGTAACTTTGCTGAGTATTTACCAGGCTAATGTCAAATTTGCCATCAAAGGGAATTTTAGTTGAAATCAATATAGTACATAATTATGGTTAACATTATTTGAATACTAGCAAATGTTTTTAAGGACAAAGGAACATCCTTATAATATTCTAGAGCTATACCTATATAGGCCACTCCAAGTTATAAACCCCGACCCTCCTATATCCTTATCTGGAACAGCTGCCCAGGTGCAGCTCCTGCCATCAGACCCTCTTTTCCATTGTCATGGCTGCTGCTTAAGCGTCCCACCTGCCCCTTCTCTGCCTCAGGTGCTGCCTCTAGTGCTCCCTATCCAGACCATCCCCACCCACTCAGTTCAGTAGCACAGAAGGGGCTGCTAACTCAGTCCTATGGTTGGAAATGGGTTCTGAGAGGCACCTTGGCTCCCTCCAACTGTGGATAGATTCTGTGAGAGCCTAAAGGTCTATTGCAGCTGAAAGTGGGGAGAATCCCAGTCTCCCCTGGTCTCCTGCCATCTGAGTCTCTGGCTGACATTCATCCTGCGTATCTGGGAAAGAGCAGAAAAGGAGCTAGAAGTTGACCAGCTCTCCCATCTGGGCTAGATACCAAATTCCAACAAGGTTGTGCTTTACAAATGCATTCAATTCTGATTTTATTGTACAGTGTTGGGGTTAGATGAAGTGCCCTCTGAAACCCTCAAACCCCAAGAGGCTAGTTGGGCTGGGGAGGAGGACTGCCATGCCCCAGTTGCTGAAGCCTGCGGAAAGCCTGCACTCCAGTCCACGGCATAAGTTCTCCCAAAATAAACAGATGGAGCACAGTGGTGGGTGGGAGCTGATTCCTTCCCACCTAAGCCATTTCTCACAGACCACAAATTGTATAATATCTACCGCTCTATCCCTAAAACTCGAGAGATATCACTAAATCTAACCAGATGGGAGCTAGGCAGAATTTTGATTCTTTCTCGATTAGGATAAAACAAGTACTTCATGAGACTTTTTCTTTTCATTTGATCAGTTGAAAACCCTGAGAGTTCTGTTGGGGATGCGGGTATCAAGGTAGGGAGCTATCAGGAGAAGAAGTAGAGAAATAATTCACCTGGTCCCATTCTCTAACATGAAGCTTGTTAGACGGTAAATATTTGTGGTCCAAAACGCCATATCATCCAGTCCTCCAAGGAAATATTCTTGGAATTGTTCCACCAAAAATGGGGACTTTCTAGAAAAAGTGGGATAAAGCTATGGCAGAGAGAAAGAAAAATAAGTAAATAAATGAGTCAGGTGCTTCTTCTGGTATCTTTATAACCCTTTACATTAAGATTTTGAAGAATGAAGCCTTTACCTTGGAAACAGCCAACATCTCGCCATGCCTGCAACATAAACAATGTTGACTGTGAGTTGTGCTTTCCACAAAGAATGAAGCAACTAATGAAGAAAAAGCTCCTTCATCACGTATCCACTATCATGCAACTGCCTTTGAATCAGAAAAATCAGTTCATCCAAAACCCACCCTCTGGAAACAAAATTATCAAAACCCGTGCTAAGGAAGTCACAATACAAACTCATGCTAAAGAAGTCACAATACAGTTGCAAATTTTCCGCTGGGGCCACACTTACATTTCCAAGAACTGAAGGTATGAACAGTCAACAATTACATTTTTGGTGATGACTGCTCGGCCATAGAGTTTCTTATAAATTCCCAGTAGATCTTCGACGGGCACATACCTGAGAAAAGCATTAGAATAAAATAAGGGTTGTGTGACTCTAAAGTTGAAAATAATATAACAGCAGCAACATCAGCTCCCAGTTATCCCATGATGACTATGTGCTAGACTCACTCAAAGGACTTTCTTTCCATGCACTATGTATTTAATCCTACCCTCAGATCCACGTGGCCGATACTATCATATTCCCAATTTACACAGAGGAATCGAAGGCAGCACAGAAAAGTTAGAGCTTGCCGAACACTGCACAGCAAAAAACTGGTGCCTTAATCAAATATTTTTGAAGGAACTTTCAAAGATAGGAAACTGTAAAGTGTAACAGGGATGTTTAATTTTGTCAATTCAGAGTTCAAGGAGCAATATAAAGAATTTTTATTCTTTTGAGTTGAATTATGCTCAATCATTATTTTTAAAATGCCAAAAATGGCTCCTCTTCCCAACATTCTATGAAGAGTCCACAGTATGAGGTGATTAAAAAAATTATAAGTTAGGCTTTTGGTTCATAGATATTAGTTATTTCAGTTGGAAGAAGAACAGCATCTTAAAAACTAGATCTATACTGAGTCCTCTTTTATCTTCATTTCAAAGACATGAGAATATAACAGACAAAGGGCAGCCAGTTAGCTCAGTTGGTCAGAGCACAGTGCTCATAACACCAAGGTTGCTGGTTCGATCCCCACATGGGCCACTGAGCTGTGCCCTCCACAACTAGATTGAAACAACTACTTGACTTGGAGCCGATGGGTCCTGGAAAAACATATTGTTCCCCAATTAAAAAAAAAAAAGCCAGACAGAAATCACAACCAATAAAACCTGATTTTAGTATATTTATAAGAAAGAATCTATTGACGTCCACTTTTTATTTTTACAAGAACACAGTGATGGTCCTTCCAATAAAAATAGCTTCAAAGTCTAAACAAAATAAAAATAAATTAGGCCAAGCTAGCAAGAAAGTAAAAATTTTCCAAAGGCCAGAAACAAATTGAAACTGGAAACTTTGAGAGCTTTCAATTTTACCATTAAGGGAAAGCCAGATTTTGCCCTCAAGTTCTGCCAAACTGTGGGAGCCTAGAGGGTTTTTTGTTGGCTGTGTGGCATGCAGGAGACAGGAGATAGGAGCCGCCTGAAGTGAGCCATCTTGGAGGAGACTCTCCATTAAAGGCTATACCTTCTGCATGAGTGTTAGCTAGAAATAAACCCAACATACTAACAAGGAAAGCAAAGAAACCTGCCTGACTTCATCTTGGCAATGGATGGTGGGGGAAGGGGGAGAATTTCCCCCCTAGAACTGGTAACCACTGCCCAGTCCCACATAGGTTTTGTACTGCATTCACACTATCTGTGTAGTCAGAAAAACAAGGGTCGAATGTAATTTAATGTGGCCTTAGATTAGTAAGCAGCTCAAGCAGCCAGGAGAGGCCAAGACAAACTCTCTAGAGAAATGCAGCTCTAACTCCAGCCTCATGTAATTCAAGCATCACAGAATATATCCAAAAGGGGACCAGAAGCCAGATGACATGCCATTTGAAATGGGCATCTAATCCAGTGCAGATGGCTCCATGTGTGGAGTTAGAGGAACCCCTCCTGCTGCTGCTATCACCACCTCTTCCTGGGGTATCCAAGGTCAGCTGGCCTCAGGTAACCTGCAAGTGACTTGCTCATTCGGGACTTCCTTTAGTTCTGAGGCAGCTGGACCAGGGATAGGAGTGGGCAACTTGCCATGCCCATAAGCTCTACTTTCTGTTTGGTCTGTAGGCACTCCTCCCAATCGCAGCCATCCACACTCAGTGACTGAGGCTAGGACTGGGGGACAGGCCATGTCACCTTCTGACTGCTTAGTAAACATTTGAAGAAAAACAAACACCAGTGTAACCACAGTTATATAGTAATATATAATAAAATAGAAGGCAACAAGCATTATTAGAGATAAAGGAGGTCACTAAACATCATGATAAAGGGTTCAAATCACCAGAAAGATATATAAGATTTGAAACTTGAATGTTCTTAATGATGTATCTTCAAACGCACATATAGCAAGCTTTCACAGAACTACAAGGAGAAATTGAAAAAATGCCCATCATATGGAGATTTTTAAACAAATTTCTCTCTTGGAATTATCAGATAAACCTGATAAAAAATAAATAGAAAGACTATTTATAGCTTACAAATCTGATTTGAACAATAAATTTAGTAAGCTTGAGCTAACACATACATATATACCAGGGGTGCCAAAAAAATGTATACAAGTGGACACTTTGGTTAACGTTACTCAAGCAGTAATTTGCTGTAATCAGAAGTGTCTGGACGCTGATGGTAACCACTTTGAGCATCTCTTGTAACTGCAGAAGTCAAATGTGACTTGTATTCATTTTTTGTTATCAGTATATATTATTACAATTTTAATACAGTTTTCCTTTCTTAAAATGTGTATACATTTTTTGCACCCTCAGTATATAATATTAAACTAAAGTTGGAGAGTTAACATTCTTTTCAGAAACATATGGAATATTTACAAAAATTGATCATATGCTAGACCTTAAATCAAGAGTCGATGAATTTCATAGGAACCAAAAAAAAGTAGAAGAAAATAAATATATGAATAAAAAATAATGAAAGGGAAAATGAACATAAAGAGAATCAATAAAGCCAAAAGTTCATTCTTTAAAATAATAAAACTGAAAAATATTACACAAGATTAATTTTCTAAAAACATAAGAGAAGGCAGGATAAATAACATTATGGATAACAAGGGAACATAAATACAAATAAAACAAGAAAAGATATTATGAACAACATAATACCAAAATGTTTAAACACTCAGATGAAATGGAAAACTCCTAGAAAAATATAAAACTCCTTAAAAAGAAATGGAAAAACTGTATAGTCTTATAACCACTAAAGAAAAAACTTTAAACACCCCTACAAAGAAAACATCAGGCCTAGATAGCTTTACAAACAAAGTCTACCAAACATTCAAGAAATCAAAGTTCAAATGTCACACAGACTTCCAGAGAACAGTAAAAGAAGCCAAACTTGCCACCTGATTTCATGAAGTCAGCATAACCTTGACACCAAAACCAAACAAGGGCACAAGAAAATTATGGTACAAGCTCACTCAAAAACACAGATGCAAAAACCCTAAGCAGCAAAAATAGATGTAACAAATATAAAAGAGATGATCTATCATTGCAAAATTGGTTTGGCCTCAGAAAGTAAAGTTGATTTTATATTAGCAAATAGATTACTATAATTCACTATATTAACAGATTAAGAAACAACTATCTCAATAGATGCAAAATAAGAGTTCAACACGTATGAAATTAATTTCTAATAAAAACTATCCGCAAACTAGCAATAGAGGGGAACTTTCTTAACTTGATAAAAGATATTCATAAAAATCTACAGCAAACATTACACTTAATGATGAAATTTTTAAAGCATTCTCTTTAAGATCAGGAATAAGAAAAGTATGCCTCATATCACCACTTCTATTGTACTAGAAATATTAGCCAGTGTGATACAGTAAAAAAAAAGAAATTTCAGACATAAAGATTGAAAAGGAAAAGCAAAATTGTCTATATTGAGTCTATAGTAAGTTCATAAGACTCTCCAGATAAATTATTAAAAATAATAAGATAGCTTTGTATGTTGCTAGATACAAAATCAAAATTAGAAAGTCACTTGTATTTCTGTATACCAGCAATCATTTAGAAAATACAGCAGGTACCAAAAATTACCATTTATGGTAGCAAGAAAAACACAAAGTCTCTAGAACTAAATCTGATAAAACGTATAAAAGCTTGATGAAAAACTTACAAAACTTTAAAGTTATTAAAGAAGACAAAATATATAGCATATTAATGGATAAGAGGACTCAATATTGCAAATATTGTTAATTGTTAATTCTCTTCCAATTGACCTCTAGATTCAGTAAAATTCTAATCAAAATTCCAAAAAGATTTTTCTAGGAACATGGCAACTTGATGTTACCACTTGATTTGAAAGAGCCAAGGCAAAGAAATAGGCAATGTATGTTTGAAGAAAAAGGACAGGTTGGGAGCTCAGCCATAACAAATGTCAAGACATACTATAAAGCTACCACAATTGAAGAAAATCAGTATTACTCAGGAGTAGTCAATTTGACCAATACAACATAACTGAAAGCCCAGAAACTGACCCACATACATGGGATTTTCATTTATGTCACAGATGACACTATAGATCAATGAGGAAAGGGTAGACTATTGGTAAATGATTTTGAGACAATCAGTGAATCTCCACAGGAAAAAATGAAATTAGATTCTATCTCAGAATATACAAAAAATTAATTCCAGGGCCGGCCGAGGGGTGCGATGGTTAAGAACTGGCTTGGGACGCCAGAGGGCCCCAGTTCGGATCCCACATATGAGGGCCAGTGACACTGCCCTCTACAGCT